GGCACCAGCAGGTGGGTGCCACGGGGACCCCTCGGTGGTGTGGAGGCCTTGACCCAGGTGTGAGGCACAAAGACGCGGGGAGGGACGGTGGTGTGGCCAGTGGGATGTGTGTTGTGGCCAGCGGGAGGTTGCTGCTGCGCTCCCCAGCCTGGGACGGCTTCGGCAGTGCGTGTCCCCCGTCCGTCCGTGCCAGGAGAGCCCCAGGACCCCCAATTCCTGTGTCCTAAAAGGCTTCTCAGGGCACGCGGTGTGACACCATCTCCACACACACTCCCCCACCCCTCCTCTGCAGGAGCAGCTATGGAGCAACACTCCCCACCCCCCCCAAAAAAAACCCCAACCAAACCCCAACCCAAACCCCTTTGTTTTTGCAGGATTTCAAACGCTGCAGCTCACGGTGCCAGGCTGGCTCCATCCTGCCCAAACCCAGGGGGGGGTGGTTTGGGGCCCCCCCTCCAGCAGCCGGACACACTCGTGGGCCCGAGCTGGTGCTCAAGGGCTGTTGAACACCCGGGACGGGGCAGGGGCCTCGCATCGGCCCGCAGCAGGGCTACGGATGAGGCTGAACGAGGGATTTTGCTGTGGGCATGCGCTGTACCAGCAGCTGGCAACTGGGGAGGGGGGTCAGTGCTGCATCCCCCCCCCCCTTTTCTGCATGCGCGTCAGCAAAAATACTTGCTCGTACACGTAGGCCAATGAAAAGTGAAAAAAATACAACCCAGACTCGTGAGTTTTTTGCCCAGAATGGGAAGCCCACACTCCACTCGCGGGTGAGGAGGAGCTGGTGCTCAAGGCTAAGACTTTCTGGTCCTGCTTTAGCTTTGTGGCATGGGTTTAGGCCAAGCCTACAGCCGCGTGGTTGTGTCGGGGGGGGGCGGCATCACGTGCTTGGTGCTTTAGAGGGTAATACCAATGTGAGATCCAACGGTTTTACGTTGGCCACGACCAGTTGCAAAAGGGTTACTAACAGCACCAGGAGGGAGTCCGGGAAGATTTCTGGAGGGCTAAGGAGCTAAACCTAGTTTAAGGTGGCGCTTGATGAGTTTAGGGAGGGACTGTGCAACTGAAGAGGAAGAGTCTTAGCGAGAGGAAAATAATCTGTGGGGAGAACGTATTTTTGAAGTTTCTGTAGCTCCAGGAAGATGTTTTTTTGGGGGGAAAAGTATCGCTATTTGTATTACAGTTGTGAGTCTGGACCTCGGGACACAGGATGCCATCGGTGCCCTCCATCCCGGAGCAGAGCGGGCGAGCGCTGACGTTTCTGCTCGGAGTTAAACAGGCTCTGCCATTTAAAAAGGAATTTTCTCACGCTCGTAAATCATTGGACTTCAGAGGGTTGTTTGGCCTTTTTTTTTTTCCCTTTCTCTAACCATGAGATGCGGTTGCTCACCGAGCCCAGCAGAGCCCCAGAGCAGTGCAAGCGCATCGCCCGCCTCCTGCTTTAGTCCTGGATCCCGTGACTGGTGGTGGTTGGCATTTTCTTCAGTTACTGGGAGGAGTTTTGCAGCCTGGCGACCGCAGGAGCGGATGGAACGGAGCTCCCGGGGCACTTTTTATCCCAGGATCACACTCACTCACCGACACATACGGCTGCGGAGAGCTGATACTCACTCTGGTCCTTGCTCCAAGACCCAGAGCTCAGCCAGTGGTTTAAAACTAATTCCCATTAATATGAGCACCCACAAAATGGTTTAAAACACCCCCCCAGAGCTCGGCTGGTGGTTTAAAAATAATTTCCATTAATACAAACACCCACAAAACGGTTGTGCCCCACCGGTGTGGGGTAGAGGGGTACCCGTGAGCCTTCAGCTGCCCCGTGTGCCATTGGAGGGGGTCACACCTAAATATTTGATACGTGGGACCCTCTGAAATCAGAGTCCTGCCCCGGTGAGCTCTAGGACACGGTTGGAGGCCGCAGCGAGCAGCGTGGCCAGCCACAAACAGGGCGAAAGCTCTCCACGACATTAAATAAAGAGGCCGAAGACTTGAATCTTTACCTTTTTTAATCAAAAACATACTCTGTTACAGAATTTCAGGAAAGTTAACTACAGTATATTATCCACAAACTAGGTCTAATGAAAAACATACAGTAAGCTACAAAGGAACTACTGGGAATTCCGTTGACCGCTTTATCAAAAGGCAATGGCTAAAAGAAGAAAGGCTTCACTAGGCTTTCAGGCTCAAAAAACCCTCTCACGGTGAGTTTTGGGTTACAGGTACTTCGCAGCTCTCAATCCAGCTGAATCACAATTTAGTAGCGCTATCAAATTTCACCAAAAAAAAAAAAAAGACACAGAAAAAGGTACTGGAGCAAGAAAGCGCTAGGTGATTTTGGTGAGCTTGAAAGAATGAAGTTTTGGGGAATTTAGGAGCGATGCGTCGCTCACAAGGCGCAACAGCAGCCAACAGTGCCCAAACCTCTCGAGATTTTTGTCGGCAGGGGTTCCGCTTTCCTCCAGGTGGGAAATTTTTAGGGCGCTGCCAACTCAGGGCAGCTCTCGGGGGGACCTCAGCAGCATCACATGGGGCAGCTTGGGCATCTCCCGGATTATTTTCAGAACCAACCCCTTGAGATAAAAGCGTTTGGGAGGGGGATGACACAACGGAAGGAGCCCTTCGGCATCCAGAAAGCGTTTGCCCTCGGTTGGGTTTCCCTGACCAGGCACGTCAGGGGTAGAACTTAGACAACGACAGGCAACCTACAAATCTCAGCCTCAAGAAGTCCTCAAAAACTTGTCAGCGGGCATGGAAACGCTCCTGTTATCAGCAGGACCAGGCAAAACTGTTGGTTTTAACGTTTCAGTCTTTTAAACAACACGGGAAGGGTTCAGAGGCAGGAGCCTCCCCTATATCCACCGGCATGGGAATTTTTTTGGACTGGTTCCTAGGAAAAGAATTGAGGCAGTCGTTCCTGAGCTACGCCGAGAGGACGCTGTCGTCTTTGAGAAGTGTCACAAGAAGCAAGATGGTTCTAAGGTAAGGCACAGGAGTTGGACACAAGTTCAATGACTACTGCTGCTACAGCCCTGTTGGGTGACTGGGGGAGAGCCGTTGTCTCCTTCGCATTTTAGGTCCATCTCTCTGTAAAGCAGCCAGATAATTTCCCAGGGGTTCAGGACGTTAGAGCTGTTAAAAAAAAATCCCTTCGTTATCAGGGCCAGGTCCGTATCATTCTCATCACGCCCCGAAAAGCAGCATGAAGAACAATCATTTCTAACCAGCACCGCTTAGCTCGGCTCCTTCCGAGGGATTCCCGTTAGAATGAAATACTTTTCGAGCATCCCAGCGAAAATTTTCCTCTCCTACATCTGTGTTCATTCTAAACGCCCTCGCTTTCAAAACTAACACGGTTAAAGCCGTCTAAACCTTCCGGTGCTAATCCCAGCTCTTCAAGACACAAAGTGAAATTACAAAGTACTCCAGCACAATGTTCGTTTTGAGGAGGGCCTAATTGGGGGTGAGAAACAACGAGGGGTAATTACTGCGTGGAAAGCAGCACGGCGGACGCAGGAACTGGATTGCAAGCAAGAGATCGCTAGCTGGGAAAAAAAAAAACAAAACACACCACATAAAACTTGTTGAATTGACTGATTTGGAGACATTCAGAGCTGAAGAGGAGACGTGGTTCCGGCATTGGTGACATCCCTGCCTTCAGCGCATACGGGGATCGTCACGGCTGTCAAGTAGCTGCAGCTTCTTTTTTTGAATCTCCCAAGATGACATAAAGGCAAGACCGTCAAAGATCTAACGTGCTGCTGCTGAAGGGTTTCCAATCCATTACGCGCTGCCTTTGAGGCCTTGTCATAAGAAATAAAAAGTACAGAATTTAAGTTAAAGGCCTATTAAAAACTAAGAATGAGATTCTCTCGTTTTGCCCTTTAACAGTTACGATCGTATCTTATCAGTGACTGCCCGGTGGAGAAGATGAATTCCACCTCAGGATTTTTCCTGCCTCACGCAACATCCACATCCCTCCTGATGTGGAGCTTGTGATTTCTTGGCTCTGATAAACTCAGCTGACATTATTGTGGTGTTCTATTCAGTGGGGTTTTGGCCATTTAAATACTACACTAGAGGTAGCGTTCAGTGTAGGTAGAGACTTAAGGAGATTCGCCAAATATCTGCAAAAAAAAATCCCGGTTTTAACAGCTCATTTCTTTCAGGCTGCAATACAGGCACCACCACCAATAGGCGGAAGCAATCTTCCACTATTTCATCAAAATTTGGCACGATCAGAAGTGTAACGACCGCTACAAGAGGGTTTTCTGTGAAGCACAGACAGAGCAAGTCACCCACCAAGATCAGCACCCTGCAAACCTGCCAGTGAAACAGGGAGGAGACACGCGGATTCCCGATCAAATTCACCGTCTGTGACAAGCAATTAATCAGTCAGACGCTTCCCAAAAGCCGAGGCAGCTCGAACCCAGCAGTAAGACGACTCAAAAGGGAGGTTGGCAAGAAGGACACGTAGTTTGTTTTTTTTTTTTTTCATTTTTTCCCCCGAATCACGTTTGCTGTTGTGGATGAAGCGTAGCCGAGCTGCTGGTTAAGAAGCTTTTCTGAGGATGTAGTCAGAATCCTTCTAAAGTGTTCCTCAAGAATGTGAAGCAGCTCGCTTTTGGGACAAATGAGATCGTTAGGAGAGAAAGGAAAATGAACAACAACAAAAAGTTTTTAAATTACAAGCCTTGAGAAAAGCAAACACTTTTTTCAAACATCGAGAAGCCGCTGTGTAAGAGGGGGGGAAAAAAAGTCATCTCATTAGAATGGAGTCTGAAGAAGGCAACACGGTGAATGAAAATTGGGAGAAATTAAGAGAAAAAACTCATCCATTGGTGGCCATCGCTCCCAAATCACCCGTCTTTTACAGTTCCACAATGACTGCTGACTTCTCTCCTAAGAGCTCCGGAGACGGAGGGAAGCAACACCTAAACGCCGTGCGTCGCAGCCCTCTGTGCGGATTGCTGAAACTAGGCAAGAAATTTGGCAAAAAGCTTCGGAAGAAGCTTTTTCCAAGTCTTCGACTTCTGTTAACCACTCCGACTGCGCTGCCAGGGCTCAGGGCAGCACGAACTGGCAGAGCTTGAAGGACTTAACCAGGCTTAGAAATCCGTAGGCTCCAACTTAACTAAGCTCCAACTCCCTGCACACGTGCTGGAAAATAAGGAATTCCTGCTCCCTCTTTGTATCCCATCAAATAGCCAAAAAGAGATATCCTCAGGGCATCTTATTGAGAAGCAGGAAGAAAAAAATTGGGACTTGCTTTCCTGGCAAGTTTAAACCGACTAAAATTCCTACTATTGGCTGCTGCTGCTGGTCTTGCAAAGGAAAATAATCCATCGCTCAAGATCAATGGTTTCAAGGTGCAGAATTACGTAATAGAAGCAAACTAAATTTATATTAAAAAAAAAAAAATCAGGGTTTTCATAATTTTATTTATACTATTAACTAGAGAGAAAGCATACATATTGTATCTGTCATACAGTCAATACATTTGCATTTTTTATTTTTTTTTTTTTCTACTATAAATTCTCTATACAAAGTCATTGCCAATTGATACGGTCGTTGATGGCATAGGGCTGAAAAGAACCAAGAGGTATAAAAACAAGTTTGCCATCTTGCCCTGAGTGGAAATGGTGAACAGATACAAAAACTGGATCCTAAGTATCGATGTAATATTTATACAGGATTTAATGGTATACGCAAGTAAAAAGAGTCATGCAACTTTTGAAAATACCTGCCAAGTTTTACTTGAGTAAAATCATAAAGTCAGTAGTAGTTATGAAAAATATGTTCCTGCCATTACGTACTCATTATGCAATTTCAGTGGCAACTTTGCAGACTGGGTATTTCCTGTTATATTTAAATTGAGTGCCAGCACTGAAAGTATCCCTTTCCTTTAGTGTTTTAAAACTCACGTGTCTATATAAATAAAAAATCTAAGATATCTTTTTTTTTTTTTTTATTTTAAAAACTAGTGAAGGAAAAGCCCCGTTTCTTCTTCTCGCTATTTTTAATCGATGCCAACAACGTATGTCTCATCCCTCACTTTTTGGCAGCTTCTACGTTTGAATCTGGAAAAACCATAACAAGAGAGTCAACAAAATAAAGGAAGTCTTCTGTTAACTATTGTTCCCTAAAAAGAACATCACAAATCAGTTGGAATTTTAAAGTTGCTATAAGGTAAATGTTTATAACTATTAGAAGGAATTTTCAGATATAAATATATATATAATATATATTCTGCATACAAAAGGCTCCTGTGAGGCTTATCACCAAGATGCCAGAATAGAGAAGGAAAGTTTCAAGGGGAACAACCCAATACTGTAAAGTCTCTATAAGGCGTTTACCTTTCAACTTTAAGCCCTGAGCCATGTATTTATGACAATTAAGTTCTGAAAATAACCAAAATCCAAATTCTGCATGTTCAGTTTCTTTCTAAGAGCAAGGCGGCAAACACATTTTTAAAACCCGGTTTTAGAAGATTAAGCAGAACAAAAGTAAAATATATCTTCAGGTTATAAACAGAATTGTATTTTACAATCCACCATCCTCACAATATGACGGCCCCCAGCAGTGCAGCAGAGGGATCTCAGTCTAAAGGTTGTGGGTCTGCGATAGGCATGGTATGAAGTACTTCATCTAGAAGCTGGAGGGCACGGTGTAAGTGAATTTCGATCCAGCACGGCGTCTCTTTGATGCTCTGTCTCGGGTAATCAGGTCCCCAACCTTTTACAAAACTCATCCTGAGTATGCATAAGCGGCGAAGGTCATCTACACCGATTCCAGCAGCAGCTGACAAACCTAAACAGGAGAGGTTTCACGTGAGCGTTCACAGACACGTTCTTTCGCTCGGCTCTTCCTTGACGTACAGTTCCCTCTCAGCACAGCCAAGGCCAACCCACATTTCTAGATCTCTGTTATTCAACCAAACACAACTATTATTTTGCATTTCCTCCAAATAATTTTTTTTTTTTTTTCAATCTTGAAAGGGTGCTGAAATAAAGCTCCCTATAATAATGTGACAACACAATGCCTTACATGATGCAACGCATGTAAACCCTATTTAGGAAACACAGTCAAAAATGACTCAATTCAAAATATTCCAAAAAAATAAGAACTCAGACCGACCACCCGCAGGATGCTGGATTGGCAAATCACACTACTTACATCTAATAAAATCAAAAAGCGAATACAGCTGACAAACTTCAAAGTGCAAGTGTGGCTAAGACAGAAGTACAATCTACTCCTCAAAATGCCTTCAGCAATTTGTAGGATGGCTGGGAAGCGCCACGTGGCAACACAAGGAATCCAGTAAACACTATGGCTCATAAAGCAGCCCAAGACACATAAGTACTGACACTTTCAAAAGTACTTAGGAACAATTTCAAGGAATTCAGTAACTGAGAAAATTCTAGCCCAGAATAACAGGGAGAACGCAGAGGCAGGGAGAACGCAGAGGCAGGGAGAACGCAGAGGCAGGGAGAACGCAGAGGCAGGGAGAACGCAGAGGCAGGGAGAACGCAGAGGCAGGGAGAACGCAGAGGCAGGGAGAACGCAGAGGCAGGGAGAACGCAGAGGCAGGGAGAACGCAGAGGCAGGGAGAACGCAGAGGCAGGGAGAACGCAGAGGCAGGGAGAACGCAGAGGCAGGGAGAACGCAGAGGCAGGGAGAACGCAGAGGCAGGGAGAACGCAGAGGCAGGGAGAACGCAGAGGCAGGGAGAACGCAGAGGCAGGGAGAACGCAGAGGCAGGGAGAACGCAGAGGCAGGGAGAACGCAGAGGCAGGGAGAACGCAGAGGCAGGGAGAACGCAGAGGCAGGGAGAACGCAGAGGCAGGGAGAACGCAGAGGCAGGGAGAACGCAGAGGCAGGGAGAACGCAGAGGCAGGGAGAACGCAGAGGCAGGGAGAACGCAGAGGCAGGGAGAACGCAGAGGCAGGGAGAACGCAGAGGCAGGGAGAACGCAGAGGCAGGGAGAACGCAGAGGCAGGGAGAACGCAGAGGCAGGGAGAACGCAGAGGCAGGGAGAACGCAGAGGCAGGGAGAACGCAGAGGCAGGGAGAACGCAGAGGCAGGGAGAACGCAGAGGCAGGGAGAACGCAGAGGCAGGGAGAACGCAGAGGCAGGGAGAACGCAGAGGCAGGGAGAACGCAGAGGCAGGGAGAACGCAGAGGCAGGGAGAACGCAGAGGCAGGGAGAACGCAGAGGCAGGGAGAACGCAGAGGCAGGGAGAACGCAGAGGCAGGGAGAACGCAGAGGCAGGGAGAACGCAGAGGCAGGGAGAACGCAGAGGCAGGGAGAACGCAGAGGCAGGGAGAACGCAGAGGCAGGGAGAACGCAGAGGCAGGGAGAACGCAGAGGCAGGGAGAACGCAGAGGCAGGGAGAACGCAGAGGCAGGGAGAACGCAGAGGCAGGGAGAACGCAGAGGCAGGGAGAACGCAGAGGCAGGGAGAACGCAGAGGCAGG